ACGCAAAAGCCGAACAGACCTGGATACGACTTGGCTCTAGAAAAATTCTCACAAACTGACCCTGGGTTGAGTCAGAACCTGAGTAATAATTAGAGTTTTTTAGTTGCTCAGTCGCCAGAGGCGTTTATTTCAGGTAAGGGTTGGCTGCTCCAAAGAGCAACACATCCGCACGTTAAAGAACCGGAAAGCTTCGGACCAGCCCGGGTCAATTTGGAGGATCGGGCAAGCCCACGAAAATGTAAAAACGAGCCGAGGAAGAAGCAAATGCGAGTGTGGCAAGTCCAGATTGGTTCATAAAGTCGGCCTTTTTACCTGGGACACTTTCTGAGCTATTTTAGGGAGGTCTAAGAGAGGCATCTCCCACGTAATATAGACTAGAGCTGGGAGAGAAGGCACATGAGTAGAAGTCGGGTTTGAGGCGTTCCACGAGGAATATAAACATATAGTTCCAATCTCCACAGTCAGCTGATCATTCAGTCCAAAACACATCAAAATAGCGACAATTTGAGGCCTTTAGATAAGACGATAATTGTTGTCGTCTGACGTTACCGTTGGACCCGTTATTTTTCGTAACTCTAAATTATCAGTCTCAAACGCTATCCTTATCCAGGTTGCTTGTGTTGATCCGATAATGAAATGAAATGGAGCACATGTAAGTGGATCATGAATGAGGCGTTCTAGAACGTGTACGACGCGCTATGGGCAGGCAAGTATCAGTAAATGCGTAAATTTGATTAAATAAATAGGTGGTTAGGGAGGTGATGCTGCTCTAGAGATGCTTAGGCATTCTGGGTCTGGGAAGCAGGCTTAGTAGGGTGCCAAGTGAAAGAGTAGACACCGGTCCAAGAGGTCCAGGAGAAGTCGACGTGATCGAATCGATCGAAGAAGGTGGAGGTGGCTCGAGAAGGCATTGTGTGTGAAGTGAGAGTGAGAGGGATGGTTGGAAACCGAGTGTGAAGTGAAGGTGTGTTTGTGGAGAGAAGAGGACGAGACGATGGCCTATATATACTCGATAGGAAGTCAGTCACACGATATCGAGGCTGATTGCTGCATATCGCCGCACCTGGTTTAGGTTTGGCGGATGTTCTAATTTGGTCTGTGAAAAAATGTGGCTGGCGGGAAGAGTGAGGTAAATGGGGTTCTGGTGGTCCAAATTTGGATCAGAGAGTTTCAAGAGTAAATTAACACGCGCAGGAGTCTAAGGAGAGCTTCAAAATTTCAAATCGATCAGTATTTGCCACCAATATCGCCTCCCACATTCTGACTCAGATACTGATGTATTTGCCATTAGACTCATTCCTGGTAAAACCTTGTCTGCGCCTGCAATCAGTCACAACTTTTCATTTATCACCATACATACATATCTTACATCAGTTGGGAGATAGCCACAAAGCTTAATTTGTTCGCCAAAGCCCATGTCAAACGCCCTGAATCTCCAGGTATTGGTAGATGGACCCCTAAGCGTTCATGACGCCATAACCGTTGGTGATGAGGTAAATGTGGAGGCAGAAACCAGGCAAAAATGCAGAGAGTAGCTGAGAGAAAACTACTAGCAGCCCATTCCATAATGAGCGTGTTTTTGTGCCTTAACCCCACACTGTCTCGAGCATTACTGAATGCATCCTCCAACAACGTCCTTTGAATTTGAGTTATCGGGTCAACGGAGTCGACGTGAAAATGGGAGATAATGTAGGTGGAAAACGCAGATCAAGTACACTACTTGTAGATAGTGTAGATTGACTTGTTCATGTGAGTTATTTACTCCCTATTTTTCTTCGTCCAGTTGGACACATTTCTGAGTACTCTCAAACTGGACCCTACTTCCGCTGGTCCAGGATAGGCAATTTTGATCGCATCTCGAGATGAAGAAGTGGGGATAACCTCGATGTGGGGAAGATCTTCGATGTGGGGAAGAGACAAGGGAGAGAAGTAGAACTGTTCGTTTGTATAGGTTAATGCTGAGTGGACTAAAGGACCTCATTGCTGTTGAAATCGGTCCAACGGTTCACAGCGTGGAATAATAGACGCTGTAGTTTGAAACAATGCTTCAAGAGTCTTCAGTTCGCGTTGTGAAAGTTCCTTTGGTCCTTGATGTAACTTCATAAGGACTGGTGAGACTCCCATTGACACGCTGAGACTTCCTTTGATCAGAGCATCATCGTTTGAGTCGGTGAAAAGGAAGTCTCCACCTTCCAGACTACTCTATCAGCTGAACTGACACTGTATAACCATTACATCCAATGCTTGTACATAAATGAAGCTCTGTGAACGACTCATCTCCTCAAGAGGGGTACGGCTTTGGCTCTTGGCTCTCTCGCAGATGTACAAAATGTAAGAGGATGAACAGAAGAATAGTGAGAAAGTTGTTGAGTAGCAATATTATGAGGTTGCGACTCACATAAAGAAAGTCGCTCACCTATTAGTCTACGCTTTCACACCGCACATGAGGTTCGACATGAGACGTCACACTAGGGCGCGCTTAGAGATACTCATCATGAAAGGACGAACCGGGGACCAAAAATGAAAGAAAGAACCAGCAAGAGGAGCAAAAAGTGATTTCTGGCAGGATCGAACTGCCGACGTTCTGCGTGTTAAGCAGATGCCATGACCAACTAGACCAAGAAACCGGTTGTGAGGTCGGGGCGAAAATTTGGACTTTTGTGGTCAGAAAAGCAAAAATGCGCCGGCGAAAATATCCGTTGAAATTGGATGTAGAGGAATAATAGAGCCCCCAGTGACATATTCAGACACAAATATATCAACTGAGGCGAAAAAATGCTCCTTTTATGCAACGCAATGGCTCCTACTGTCTTGTCTTAACCTGACTCAAACAATATCATACCGTACACAACTTTAACATTCCAAAAACACAACGTCACCTCTGCACTGTCACTCCAACAAAGCACAACGAATCCGAAGAGATACTTCAAGCACAATACCCCCTCAGCACAAGCCATACCCTCCAAGATACCCCCCCAGTACAAACCGTGGATGTAAGTCCTGCAGTCCCTATGATACCCTACCATGATACTCACACAGACTGTTCTCAACACCGTCCAATCAACAAGACGCAGATACCAGACTCTGGAACATGAAGAGACCGATATCCTCGAGCTCACAGAGCCCTAATCCGCGACCTGCACCTAGGCAGCCTTCGCCAACACTGGTGCATCCTCGACCAAGGCACCCCACACGTCTGAAACACTCTCCTTTCCTTGAGCCTTTCCCTGCACCAGCAGTTCCCAAAGAAAACAGCCCGCCTCGCTCCGAGAGAAATACACCACCCCAGCCCTTCGTTCCTGCTGCTCGCAATGCTACTACTACGGAAGCAGTTCCAGGGCCGTCAAACCCATCCTCAGAGAACGCCAGTGGATCCAACAGCGTCTTCACAAACACGTTCTCGAACAGCACGGTTGGAACCACCCCGTTGGCTGGACCTAGTGGGTCTGGCTCTACGCGAATGTTCACAAACGCGCCACAGACAACCATCCCGTCCATGCCGTCGACTCCCCCCATACCATACCAGTCCTTCTACCACCTCCCATTTCAAACAGAGTATGGGTTTCAACCATGGCCCGGACAAGCCACCCAGGCAGCAGCCCCAGAGCAGCAGCAATGGCAAACGCCTGGAGCGGCATACCACTCGCTATACCAACAGACCGACACTACACCGGTGCAAGTGCTGCTACCTTATCGGCCCCCCACTCCGCAGATTCAACCCAGAGCGCTGAGCCGCACACTGCCTCCGCTCGATGGGAACAACCAGATGCTTACACAGCCTGTGTCACCACCAGTGGTACAGAACTTGCCACCTCTAGAGCCAGTTCCTAACCTTCCACCTCCAACTACAGAGCCTCAATTCAACTTCCAGCTCTACCCAACGTATGGGAACACACCAAGGAACTCCCCCGCGTCTCTTCTTGACTGTGACTTTGACGAGCTGCGACAAAAAATGTTCGAGCGTAGGAGGAATGTCAGATCACTGAGTCACCAGAAGCAATGGTATGCCAGACAGCTGTTTCAGTTCGAGAGGAACCGATTGCTACGACAACTAGAAGAACTCCGCAAATTTGAGGGGGCAGAGGCGCAGGACTTCGCTTCGGCACAGAAGGACTACTTTGACTTACTTGCTGAAACAGATTATACCGAGAACCCAGGTATCTTGGGCCCTCTGACCATCCTCCTGAAGCTCGAGAAGGTGGTTGCAACCATGACTGCGGAGCACAACTGGATCAGAGACGTTCTTAGCAACGCTGGGATAGATGTCGATGGAGAGGAGGACGAGGATCAGTTGTAGAAATCTATGTACCTACATACCGTTACTTGCCATGTACACAACCACGTAGCTTTCATCGTCATGAACAAAGGTGTAAAGAGTGAACCACTGCAGCTGAGACTCTTGAAGACTTGCTCATGGAAATCAAGAAAAGATAGCCTCAACCAGAGTGTGCCCCAACCCCACAAAACACACAACCCAAAAAAAGTCGTCCCAATAGACACAACCACACGACGCGACGCGTATGCTCGGTGCAGACTGTCAGCAAAACCTCAACATGAAAGATTCCACCGCAGCAAAAAGGAAACGAAAAAATAATGACATCCGAGAGATTCGAACTCTCGCCTCCGGAGAGACCAGGATATTGATTCAGTCACCTGAACCTGGCGCCTTAGACCACTCGGCCAGAATGCCAACTGTGATTTCAGAGCTCAGATTTGACTATAACTCGAAAAAAAAATTCGCCAAAAGGGCTCCAAACACGTTCAAATCGGAATATACACACTTACTGGTGGTAGAGAAAAACTTTTCACGTTCCTGCATACCGATGAAGTCAATGTTTCTCGAGATACCCCGGATTGTAGGTACTTAGCCTCCCCCCAGTTTAGTGCAAATGATAGCCTTGAAAGACAGTGAAAAATATGTCACACTAGACTATTTATTGTGCCAAAACAATTGGTTGCTTTCAGTAGCAAAAACATAAGCCATATCACCTCAAAAAACATGTCAACTGAGGGATTCGAACCCTCGCCTCTTGCGAGATCCGAAAGCTAGATTTCTCTCGCTAAGTTTTCACTTGAGTCGGACGCCTTAGACCACTCGGCCAAATTGACGAAATCTGCGAAGAGAGAAAAAGTGGCCACTACTTTCCGAATTCAGAAAAAAAATCCGCGCGATTTTTCTTTGATTTTCGCATTTCTGGATGCCCAGACGCAATCAGAGGAGGTCTGCACTTGAAATAAGCTTACAATTTCTGTTTTACGTTCAGGGAGTCTTATTTTAATGGCGATCATAACTGGTCATAAGTTTTGGCCAAGCTGACGAATGGAGCGTTTCTGAGATGAAACAAAGCGTGGAAAATCATAGCTGAAAATGATTACGTGTCTGATATATAATATTCTAGTGCAAACATATCTGATTACGAATTATGACGTGCTCAAAGGTGCTAGTTTACACATTACCCCACACAAAACGCCGCAAATTAACCTAATCTGTGGTCCCAAAGAACTTTAAGGGGGGCTTGAATAATCGCCCTCACGATAATAGGAGCATATATCTATAGCTTCCAACTTCAATTCGAGTCTGAATTTCTTTCAGAATGCCGATAATACATTTGAGTATATAGCCCTTCTTTCGTCTAAGCTCTCTTTGATCTATTTAAGAAGGAACAAGCCACTGTCCGCGATTGCATGATCCTGCATTAGCACATCTGAGCCGATATATATTGTCATGTGAGACTTGTTTCTACCTTCATACTGCACTATCAACTACACATGCTCGCCGTCATCTCTGAAAACCACAGTCTCCATCTCAAAAACGCCCCCAAAGCTGAGATCTCAGCTCCTGACGACATCATTGTCAAGGTGGACTATGCCGCTCAGAATCCCATTGATGTGATCTTGAACGACCACAAAATGCTGAAGGACGGCAAGATCGCAGGAAACGACTTTGCAGGCACAGTTGTTGCTATTGGATCGGATGTGAAAGACCGCAAGTTGGTAGGAAAACGAATTGCCTCATTCGCTGATGGCCACAACAACGACTATCCCTCTGGATCATTTGCCGAATACGCCATCGCGAAAGACGGAATTTACACTGTCCTGCCAGACACAATAAGCAGTGTAGAGGCTTCGACAATCCCTCTGGCGTATGTTACAGCTGTTCACGGTCTATACACCTCTGCGCGACTCAACCTGGAGGGAAAATCAAAGCAGACGGTGCTCATCTGGGGTGGTAACTCCTCTGTGGGTCGATACGCACTGCAGTTAGCAAAGCTGAGAGGTCACCATGTCATCACAACAGCCAATGGAGGAAACAACGACGAGCTAAAGAAGCTGGGTGCTGATAAGATCTACAACTATCGTGATAAAGATGTCGCCGACAAGATCAGAGCGGACAATGGACCTCTCAAGAACATCCTGGATGCAATTGGAACTGCTTCTTCGGCATCAGCGTGTGCGAAAGTTGCAGCAGATCCTAGTCACTACACTACAGTCAGACCCGATGCTGCCCACACGAAAAACTTCCCAAGCTACATCACAGTCTCTACTATCATTGTTTACCAGGTGTTCTTCACAGGCACAGAAGAGGCTGATATTGGCGACAAGTATCTTACCGAAGCTGCAAGTTGGTTGAAGACACGCAAGCTTGTCTGCAACATTCCAAAGCTCGTCGGCGGCTTGGACAAGATTGAAGATGGCTACAAGCTGCACAGAAAGTATCAGATCAAGGGTGTGAAACTCGTGTACCGAGTCGGTGAGGTTGGAAGGTTATAGCACAATGGGATTGATATTTCTATTATTAGCCAGCTATAGGTAGCTAGTTCGTTTGTGGGGTTAAGGAGACACTTCACTTAATTACACTAGAAACCAATGTACATTTACACACAGTCCGTAGCATCACATCTCGACTCAAGATAAGGGCTCGGTAGATAACAGCAACGAATCACCATATCTCCTCTTATCTTTGTAATCAGATATAACGAGCAAATAAGTGGATCCAATAGTGCCGTGTATATGACAGCTCATTGTGTCTCCAAATTTAGTGCGTTTCAGGGTTGCCCCGAGTAGAGCCGTCTCTGCGGAGCCTTGGTAGAGCAAGAAATGAGCACTTAGGCAGAAGAAAAAATCACAGGTTTTGGAATCACTGAAGCCACAAAACAGTCGTGTTTTTTGGCGTTCTTTCTGTTTCAATATTCGCATTTTCTTCTTCTCCTATTCAGGGCCTCCCCTTTTGAATGTCTAGCATATTCTAGCTCCGCATGGAAGCAGTCGAACTTCTAGAATTACCTTAATAACAACGCCAAAACTTATCAGATCTGCAATTTTTTAATGCAAGTCAAAAGTTTGACGCCCCGTGATCCTGAAAATGAAGTCAAATTTTGAACAGCGTATTTCCAGGAAAAGATATTCGCCCCCCTTCTGAGAACCACCCATTTGCCACAGTAAATTAAGGTTTACACTAAATTTCGTCTCCCAACCTTAATTTCACGGGATATATACTCACGATGATGTGCATAATGGGCCATCGCAGTAACTACGAGTCATACTACTTCACCACACACGACCCGCGCGTTCGACCAAAACCACAACATGTGTCGATTTCTGATTTTTAAGGGTGAGTACAGCAACTTTGTCGACACAAACAACCGAAACTAACCCAGGAAAGGAGCCTATTCTCCTGGCCCATCTTCTGACCCGTCCGGCACATTCCATTATCAAGTGAGTATCAAGAGCCGTTTGATCCGAGCACAAAAACTAACCCAGCCAATCTTTCGACAGTCGTTTGCGACTTGACATGACGCGACCCATCAACGGAGACGGTTTCGGCGTCGGATATTACACTATGGACCGTGATCTGGAGCTGGATGCTGGCCCCTGTGTCTTCTGTGCTATCACGCCTGCGTGGAACAACACCAACCTCGCCAGACTCGCCAACAAGACCAAGAGTGATCTTGTGTTCGCTCACGTGAGAGCCTCCACCTCTGGCACTCTCTCTGAGACCAACTGCCACCCCTTCGCCTACCACAACTTCATGTTTATGCATAACGGCAACCTGAGTGGCTTCAGCAAGATCAAGACGCGTCTGGTCCGGCTCATGGACGAGGAGTACTTTAACGTCATCGAGGGCGGAACCGACTCGGAGTGGGCCTTTGCGCTCTTTCTGGATACCCTCAACAAGCTGGGCTGTGACCCTGCCAGAACTGATATCCACCACCCCCACGCCAAGATCCGGGAGGCTATCATTAAGACTATTGAGATCATCAAGGAGGTTACCAAGAGCGTTGGCGTCACCGAGTCGGAGCCCAGCCTGCTCAACTTCGCCGTTACCGACGGAGAGACTGTTGTCTGCTCGCGATACATCACCTCGAAGACGGAGGAGGCTGCCTCTTTGCATTTCTCTTCGGGATCCAGCTTCTTCGAGTACAAGCCCGGGCAGTACCGAATGGAGCGACACGACAAGTCTCAGAACATTATCATGGTCGCGTCTGAGCCCCTGACTTTCGAGCGAGGAGACTGGATCACCATTCCCACAAACACCATTGTGACTCTAACCAACCAGAATGTGTTGTTGCATCCCGTTATTGACGAGTACTACGTGAAGGACCCCAGCCACCGCCGAAGCAGCGCTCTGGCCGAGTCTAAGGGTCTGGCTTCTCCTGTCCACATGAGAAACAACCCTCCTGGCGTTCCTCCTCTGGGAAGAGAGGGACGGGACATTGTTGAGGAGGTTGTTGCATAGAGAGATATAAAATATTAGCTAAAGAATAGATAATTTATAGTACTTTGTGCGTTATACACGGCTTTTGCCACCTATTGTTAAATACGGCTCATGCCGTGCAAATCACAAATACCGTACAAGTAAACAAGAGTGCCCAAATACGGCGCTACTTGTAGGCTTGACGGAACAGCGTCCAAAGATACACAACTCTGTCACTCTACGGAACAAGTGCCTGGTAAAACTGCGGATCGCAGGTCTCTTAACATCTATTATATACACCTCAGAGGAACTTACTTCTGGTGGGCGACCCAGTCGTTGTAAGAACCGGGGTAGTTGGCTCGCTGCTGGTAGCCGCAGGTCTCGGCCAGAGACGCGGCCTTGGCGGATCGGATGCCGGCCTGGCAGTAGAAGACGAGCTCGTCGTTAATGTTGGGCTTGGGGAAGCCAAAGGTGCCCTCGAACTCCTCGGCGGAGAGAGACAGAGCGCCGGGAGTAGACTTGACGGGGATGTTGATGGCGCCAGGAATGTGGCCAGCCTTGAACTCGTCGGGCTCTCGCACGTCCACGAGGATCATGTTGTCGTTGTCGCCCGTGAGGATGTTGTCGGACAGGGCCTTGATGTCGGGGTAGGTGAGCTCTCGCAGCTCGGAAGAGAGGGCGGAATATCGTCGCTTGAGCAGCTGGGTGTGGAAGTTGTGGGGCACAGCGGTCAGGGCAACTCGGGCGGAGTTGAGCTGAGAGACGGAGTGGACCTTTCGGGTGGTGACGGAGTTGACAATGGGTCGCAGGGCTCGGCCTCGGATGCCCAGGGCGTGCTTGGAGGCGTCTCGAGCAATCACTCGTCGCGCCACGGGTGTAATTCTTCGGAACATCATATAACGTGAAGGGCTGGCTGGTCTTGTCTGGTGTGGTTGCAAGATACGATGTACTGGAAAATGCTTATCTTGAAGATTGCTGGGAGGAGGGGTCGGTAGACGGTCCAAACCCAGGCGGAGGTTTCTCGGCTTGATGGGAGGGGGGAAATTACACTGTACGAAATGTGCAGCTTCTAAAAGTGCTGCTCCAAATTACGACTCAAATGCCCCTCCTCTACGCCCATACACATCGACCTCAGATCTGGCCAGTAGAGTCCAGTCCGCCTTAGGTTCTTAAATCTGCACGCTTTGTTGTGAGTGGTTTGTGGCAATCTGCAGCTAGTTTTCGTTTATGACGGGGGCAAAAGAGGTGAAAATTATGCATAAATGGCTATAGCTGCCCGCCTTCCACAGAGATGCAGGCCAATTATGACTCCAGGGACATCTTAAACGCCTGTCCACGAAGTAATTGGCCTGGCACAACAATATTTTTACTTTTCGTCCTGTAGAGAGTCACCGCCTTAAAACCGCCGCACGTG